TGTCAATACTTAAAAAATCTATTGATCCTCCATCCAAATATCCAAGTTAAACCAAATTTTATGTTAAGTTAAGATATTTTGGTATATATAAAATTTATATGTTGTATATCATTTTTATTTTTCAGATTTTTGAAATTTAAAATATTTATGAATTTTACATTTTAAAAAATAATTTAAACGGGTTATACGAAACCGAACCGAACTCGCAAAGATCCAAACTGAACCCAAACCAAAATTTATAAATACTCGAATGGGGCTGAAATCTCTAACCTTGAAAATCTAAAACCCGAATAAATCTAAATTGAACCTGAATAGATACCCGAACGTCTATATCTAGGTAAAATGATCGTTTATTATTAATGAAATGTTTGTTTCTTTTCTTTTTTGGGACTCAAGTAGTTAATTAATTATGTTTTATTTGAAAGTGTAGATTGTAACGCTTGGTTGAAATATTTTTATGTGAAAAATAAAAGATAATTTTTATACGGACATTAGAACCTTAATCAAAGGAAAGTAATTAAGATTAGTAGGATAGATTTGATTAGGTTTGAAAAAGAAGTTGTTATATTCGTAACTAGAGGTGACCGGCCCTACGGGCGGGATTCCATTTTTCATCTTCCATACGGATTTATATTGTTTGTTATATTATCGTGTTGTATGTTGATCTATTTTAGGTGAATCATTTGTTTTGAGTAGCAGTTTTATTGTGTTAGTAGGGAACTCTTGATTTATACCTTTGGTTTTGTTTGTACTTTTTGGTTGGGTTGATATTAAAAGCGTGCGAAGCGGTGACTTCTTTGTTACTTATAATGGATTATATTGCCGAACTTATAGTATACTGTTTATGAAATACAGTATTACTTTTTGTAGAGATTATTATGTTTAGTTTCATTAGTAATTGGTTGGTGCTGCCTTTATAGTGTTAGGCCTTTGATAATTTTATTGTGTTTTTTTATTAATTTTTCTGATTCTACGTTTTTCAGTATTATTATTTTTTTACTCCTTGTAAATGTCATGCGTAGATATTAATCTTCTATGGTAATGTGTAGTATGTTTTTAGGTTTTACAAATTAATTTAGGTTAGGTGGTGAAAGTTGATTTATAATTTCGTGTAATTTGTTTTTTTGGAAGGTAGTAAACATTATGATAATGTTCATGCAACGCGGGGGTTTTGTGATATTTTTGGTATGCATATTTGTAGAAAGGTAAGGTTTTAATTTTAAATACATGTATTAAATTCTTAATATTTAGCTTGTTCGACATAACATGCAAAATCTACAGTGGACCGTTTCATGTATAACCATGTTGTATTTTGAATGAGCATCAGTAGATCATATAACTGTCATAAAATTGTCGTTCATCCAAACTGCAATTCCTTTTTGAAATAGAGTGTGTGATGTTTTCCTTTCGCTATATGAAACCTTAAAACGCGTCCAGTAAATGAGTATTTAGATTCAGGAGCTATGAATTGATTTATTACATAATCCCGAGGAAAGCTAGTGGTAGTAAAAGTATAAAAGAATTATTTATTCGTTTGTAATTTAAAAAGTGAATATAAGGAAGAATGAATTAATCTCGTTTATTATTTTATGTCAAATATTTTATGATAATGTTCATGTTATAGGCTTTTGTATAGTTGTTGTCATAACATTTTGTTCGTCTGTTGTGACATGTGATTTATCATTTTAGTATGGTCCCATTGGGTTGTAGTTTTAGTTTGGTCTACTGGATTGTTAGTTTTGAGATGGGTACCTTCGTTAGTGTAGATTGTGTTCTATTAGAGGTATATATATCAGTAGATTTAGAGTATTTATATTATAATGGATCATTTGGGCCATCGGATAACAATTATTTTGATATTGTTGCCAGGTTGTGAAACCGAGAAAAAGATGATCATGTGATGTGGACTTGGAGTTTGAAGCTTTGATAGTGTGACGGGCATAATTATCGAAATGGATTGAAATTTTGGGCCTGATTTATGTGCCTGTGTTACTTGAACTAAATAAATTTTGGGTCAGAAAATCAAAAAATCCATATCTCGTTTAATTAATAAGAACGCAGCGTTTTATCTAATGGACACGTGTCAGCTCGGGATGAGGTGAATTAGTGACGTGGCGGAACTATAGGGAAGAAAAGCTTCCTTTATATAATTAGATGCTTTAAAATATGATTTTATTAGTTATTTCCCAAAAACAAAAAATCAACCCTTAAAATAGGACAATAGAATCATGGATATATATATTAGCGTAGAAGCCCAAATATCAATCCGAGGCATACAAACATAAAGATGATGTGTAATATAGTATATATCAGTTATCATTTTTTTAAAGGACCCAACTGATATCAATTGGACATGATGTAAATTTAATAGTATTGACTAGATTTTGATCCGCGCAACCGCGCGGGTGTTTGTTTTCGTTTATAGTTAGTTATATAAACATTTTGTTTTCACTTGTTAATTGGTATATATTATAGTAATCACATATTTACGATATGTATAGTAAATGTTTTCCAAACATAACAATATTATATAATACGTGTTTTAATCAAATAGATTGTTTCGAATTTCCTATATTATACATGTTTTTCAAACATGTGTTTGTTTCTTCTTCTATATTTTATTGTTTGTTAGATTAGTATTTCATGTTTAGATAAATTAATATAAATAGAGTTTGTAAATATTAGTATACTTTAATTTGCAAAGATAATATAAATTTCGAAGAAATCTTTGCTAAAAACTAAACTTATAGCTTCATAAATTAATATTTTAAAGAATTTTATTAAAAAAGAATTTTTTTAAACAATTTTCTTTTTTAAAACAATATAATTTTAAAATTTTACATCGAAATAAATTTATCTAGTATATATAGCGTGTAAACTTTGTTAAGGTATATAAATATTCCATATTACGAATATGTGATTTTTGTTAATATATTGTGGATGCATTTACTATTATTGACATATTTTCTCATAAATAATAGAAGATTCCTAAACTTATATCTATTGACATATTTTACGTGACTAAATTGGAAGTTGTAGGATAATTTACCAAAACGAAATTGTTAAGCGTACATTTGTTACTATATATATGATTTTTCATAAGATATAATAGTGATAAGATTATTAGATAGTTAATATGACATGACTTTCTAGTAATAGTCCATTTTTAAAAAAAATCACACATGAAATCAAGTCATGACTTCTGTTTTAATATATAAGATGTATCACTCAACTCGTTGTAAAACATTTCAAATTTTTGTTTTATTGAAATTTTTAGGCTAAAAAATCAGTAATAAAACTAATTAGAGAATTTATATTTATGGAATATAAAAAGTGATATAGAATTAAAATAATAAATTTTAGTATTGAAATTTAAAAATGTCATTTAGTTTGAAACAAAAAAAAAAACAGAGAGAGAGTACTCTTTATCGTATAATATATGAATAATCCGAGTTCAACTATTATTTGAGTGCTCCAGAAAATACGCACACTTATCTCTTATAAATTGGTTATGTATGTGTATTTTATTTTTTAATTTTTGAGTTTAAATATGAAAACTCCATTGTTTTAATATATACTAGATTTTGAACCCGCACATCCGTGCGGGTAATTTTTCATTTTATAAAAATATAACAAAATCTTTCAGATATATCATTTACATTTTATTTTTATATTGTATAACTATAGAATCTTATTATTTTAATTATTTTATATAATATATTGTTGTCATTTTTAAAAAATATCAAATATATCTTTTAGATAATGTATTTGTTGTGAATTATAAAAATATATGTCAACATTTTTTGTATAAAAATATTACATGATTTAAAAAAATTAATATGTTTTAACAGTGAATAAAAGAAAATTTTAAAATAAAATATTTTTCTTTACCAATTTAATAAATTTTTATATTAATTTCACATAGCCTTTTATTTTAATATAATATAGAAAATCATTAAATTATAAAATATACCAATTTTTATTTTTAATTAACATTAATATATATATATATATATATATTAATCACGAAATTAAATAATATATATTTTATAAAAATATTTAACTTTCTTGATAAGATCTTGTTAGATATTTTCTCAACAGATTTTGTTATAAATGAAATTAAAGATAACTTTATAGTTATATATTATTAAAATATTTCTTCAGTAATATATATTTGGTTGATTAATATAAATAATCAAATATGTTATATTAATGAAATAGTCCAATATGACTTTTTGTAGTAGATATAAATGGTACTTCTCTTTTAATATNTTAGATATTTTCTCAACAGATTTTGTTATAAATGAAATTAAAGATAACTTTATAGTTATATATTATTAAAATATTTCTTCAGTAATATATATTTGGTTGATTAATATAAATAATCAAATATGTTATATTAATGAAATAGTCCAATATGACTTTTTGTAGTAGATATAAATGGTACTTCTCTTTTAATATAGAAGATACATTAAAAATATGTATATAAATTTAATAAAATAATAAAAAATACATTTTAAATATACCAAATGATTTTTTGGAAATATATTAGTACTGCATGTATTTAACAAAAACTTATCATTCGTATCTATGATATGTAGCAATTAGTGTGCAAGAAAGTTAACGTTTCAATTGGGACAACTTAGAATGAATTCAAAGATTACACCATTCTCTAAACATAAGTCCCTAAAAGAAGATTTTTATGTTTTTTTGAGAAATTAGATGTCTTTAGCTTCATAAAATAATACTAAACCAACAAATGAGATTAGGTATATTGATATACTCCAAGCACTAACTTTTAATCTTGGGAAATTAGTGTACTTGTTGTCACTGTCATAGCCACAAACACACGGTGTGCATTACTTTGTTCGTCCTGTTTCATTATAATTACTCTTTTTTATACTACCACTTTGAAACCATGTCAAAAACGTACTCATAAGATTATATAATAACCAAAATATAAAAATCCATGTATCAAAATAAGAGTATAGAAAACAATGCTAATTTACGGTACCAAACACTATGTCCCATAGCGAAGAAGTTACACCAAACCCCTTGTCCTGAATCCTGAAGTGATGGTTCAAATGGGATTTCTGCAGATATCATAAAAAAACAAATTCATAAATAAACTCTCTATAAATTATGTTTAAGGTCTTGTATGTATACAAAAGAGAAAAAGACTTTGGCCTTGTTTAACCTTGAGGTTTGTGGTCACTGCTGTAGTTGGGTTAGCATGCTGAAGGTAGTAGTCAGTAAGATCGTACATCACATACCCGAGCAGGACGCCTCCAAACAATGCAGGTGCAGCTGAAGGAGTTGCCAGAAGCTTCGCAAGGTTCCAGAGCTGGAATGGAATGTGCCGTGTTTCCCCTGGAATGGTTCCACAATAACATTAGCATCTAGTTGAAGATGATTAATTCATAGATAGTGAGTACATGTGTGTGTGTAACGTAACGGTGAAGGCAACGGTGAAGACAGTATTCTATAAAAGTCCAGATAAATGTTCCCAAGGCTACCCCGGTAAAAACTTGATATGATAGCAAAGTACAATGACCATTCAAATAGCAGCAATTTACCAAAACTTGAGCCACCGCATCCGTAGTTGTTAGTCCTAACTCGCCTCCCATCTCGATCTCTGCTATGATGACTATCATCCGTATAACACATGTTCTTCTTAGATTTCCTCTAGGACCAGAGATCTCCATTGCTTGGGCAAGTAGAGTCATCAGTAAGATCAGAGTATCCGTCTCAAGATGACATCAACTCATTAACCTTGTTGCTACATTTCAAACCACTGTCTGATCTCCCGGAATCACTCCACCACCTTCAGATCATGTTGTTGTAAAATGTAAGGCATCTCCGTGATTTCCACGAAATCTAGATGAAATAACACAGCAAGAGTTTTACGTGTTGCAACGACTAAAGGAAAATACTCTGCAGCTTTGACCTGAAAGTTAATAAAAGAAAACTAGATGAGACAAACAACGAACCATCTGTGTAGAATCTACAATTCAAGTTGGTTACTCACAGAATCCATGAGCATCTCCACACGCGTCACTGCATTAGTGAAAACAATGCCAGAAGATCTATTTGCTTCCATTCTAAGGTTGTGGTTGTTTCCTCCATGACTACTCAATCTTGGGAATGCATTCTCATAGCTTTTGAGACTTAGAATGTCTAGGTATCTATCTGTTTCTATTCATTTTTAACATGTTCACCCAAAAAAGGTCAGTTATGGCCACCACTGCACAATATTTACTTTTCTCTTCTTTTTTTTCCTTTTCTGACTGTTCCTTGAAGAAGTAGTTTCTCTCTCGACAACTATTTTTTCATTATTGGGATCACGCTGATGCAAATTTCTTATTGTAGAATGATGGGAACCACACGCACAATATTTAGAAGTGAGAGAAAGGGGGTCATACCGGAGGACACCAACAGCATTTGGGTTGTTGCACGTAAAGGCTGAGACAGTGGGTTGAAGCTTCTTGGTACAGCTGGAGCAAGAACCATAACACCATCCTTTCTCCATCTTTATGCCAGTGACTTTGCCAGTGCAGATAAAGTCAAATTCCTACATATTTGGAATATTACAATCACATACAAAGCTCTAAACATGTGATTTTTATAACATGTTAAAGTGAATCACATACAGAGCTCTAAACATATAAATTTATAACCTGTTAAAGCTTGTTGGTCTATCGGTTAAAATATGAACATAAGCTTCAAGATGGCTGTAAAACAGGAGTTAACACAAAATCACAAGCCGTTTTTAAATAGATCTGACAGAAATAGCTTAATTAAAAAGAAATGTAATGAAAAACAAACGTAGTGGTTAGAAAAGCAGAACATACAATGTAAGTTGAAGCGGGAATCAGCTTCCCAGCTCGGCTTCTCTTGATCAACATTGTCCACATGAGCAACAAACGCAGAAGAATAAAACTGGAATCTGATTCATGGCACAGGCAAAACTTAAATCCCCTTCTTGTGGTCCGAGTTGGACGGCTCTGAAGAACAACATGTCATCAGCCTTTGCGCATCAGGTAAAAGGCTTGCCATTTCGTTTCTTCAACTTAGATTCACCGATGTGGTTGACTGAGAAAGCACTAGTTTTGCCTCTTTTTTTCATAGCTTCGGTAGAGGAGCCACCGGCTGCACATGTACGTTTCAAAGGCTCCCCGGTGGAGGCGCCGGAATTGGCTTCATGTTTGATCAGCTTTGTGGAGTTAAGTTCGGGGGAATTGGTGCTTGGTGGTTTGGCTGTTCGAATTCATCATGATTGAGGTTTGTGAGAGTGAACACAGCTCTAAGAGAGAAAGCGATATAAATAGATCCAGAAATAGGAAGATGAAATGAACCCATTAAAGAGGGATTCATGGCAAGAAGGCGGAGTGAAGGAGTGGTACGGATGATTCGACTTCGGTTGATAAATCGAAAGTCGAGTAATTGAATCGCCATGGAAGAAAACAGGCGAGACGGAAAAATCGTCTGGAGTGGTGACGGTGCTTTAGGGTATTGGGAGTGTCTCAGCTTTTGGGCCAAATGGGCCAGAGCGGAAATCATGCTTACAGATGAAATTGCAAATTAAAGACCATCTCGGTTTTTTTTGGTGACGTGGCACACTTCTCCATGGAAGATATTCTACTTTTAATACTAGGGTTGGCCCGTCCTACGGACGGGATATAATTTATTTGTAATCTAAGTTATTGTTTGTAGGATTTTGTAGTTTGTGTTTCAGATTTGCATCACAAAATATATATGAGAATATTTTTCTCTTAGAAAATTTTAGCTGATGAAGAATTATATGTGATAAAATATATTTTGTTTGTGAATTTTAGGAATTCTTTTAT